GGGGGGATACATGAATGGCATACATATTTGAAATAACACCACTTCTTCATATTATGAACGGTGACTGTTTCGCGCATGCGTGCAGAAAAGTGAGCGCGTCACACGTCAGAATAGATTAATAATAGAAATGATTAAATTTTTAATTTAACTGTCGATAACTACCTCCACCTGTCGATAACTGCCCCTGTCATTAACGCCACCAAAACAATGATGTATCCCGCGATTCGTCACATGTAAGTTACGCTGATTGCATATCAGTGATGAAATAGAGTACGTTTCCCGACTTTTCCGAAATGCCATCATATAGGCTAATAACTTCCGCAAAACGGTAAACTGGAAAAACAAGTTTGAAGCTTAGACTGTCGATAACTGCCTCCATATTGCTCTATCATCTTTAGTATAATTAACAATCTCAAAAAGAATGAAAAATATATTATTTTCACAAGTTTCTTTATAGGCTATTTGTAACATCGCTGTTTTTAGGTTTGTCGGCGATAACACTGCTACGAAGGAATGCACATGGTATATTTTACGTATCTGAACGTGAAACTGGAGTAAAACAACCATTACTATCATTACTTCTTATCATGAGCGGAAGTTCCGAAACGTCATGTTCCAACATATCGAATTCGATTATCCCCCCTTAGAATATATTTCACTTCCGGAATTGAAGTTTTCAAGATGGAAGCTAAGGCACTGCATAACTTCGAACCGACGCACCCGGATGAACTGGGTTTCGAGAAAGGTGACACTCTTCTTGTAAGTATCAATAACAGTACTTTTGAATTTTTGCATTGATGATTGTTCAGATTAGTCATCAGGAACTTTAGAAGGTACAATAAACTCGCTACGCCTATATTCACGTAATGATGTAAATTTTGACTTCACTTCCTGAAATGCGGAACTGTCAAAGTTGCGATATAACAATAAAAACCATGTCAATGTTTTATAATCCTGCGAGTCAAGAGTCAAATAGTAACTTTTTTCCAATTTGATTCAGTTAATTTTTGAAAATTCATTTAATCAATATGAAACTTCGACATAATGTTTCTTATTCGTTATATATATATAATTACTGATATACAAGGTGCATAAACCCCATACATACAAAGTACATAAAACATATACATACCAGGTACAAAAAACCCATACATACGAGGTACATAAATCCCATACATACAAGGTACATAAACCCCATATATATATATACAAGGTACATAAACCCAATATATACAAGGTACATAAACCCCATATATATATATATATACAAGGTACATAAACCCCATTTATATATATATATATATATATATATACAAGGTACATAAACCCAATATATATATATTATATATACAAGGTACATAAACCCCATATATATATATATATATACAAGGTACATAAACCACATGCATACACTTGTACATAAACCACATACTAGTGCGAATTATTCTGACGTTTTATCAACTTTTTTTTATATCGGTCTGTCGTCGATTAACACCAGAACTCCGGCCCTCTATAATATGCGGGAAATAAGCGACCCGCGCCTGGGTGGTCTTCAAACTGATATTTTAGAAACAAATCGTCACTTTCACACACATGTCGTACATGGATCGAAAGATCTATTCTTTAAATTCTCAAAATAGGTACATCAACTTGGCTCTGTATCATAGCGTTCCAAATTCTGCTTTAGAAAATGGGACAGGAGTGAATGGTTAAATCTCAATTGCCAAAAAACCCAGCCCTCTGGAAACCATTGGTGTACCCTTAAATCACTGTTTGAACTTGAATGGAATACTTGGCAAAAACCTGTAGACAGTCATCATGCTGAGGAGAGACTGTGAACATGTGTGTGCAATGCTGAGCCTTGTACAAATTAAAACTATACAGGAGAAAGTCTATGCCACCTCTCTCCTCACTACAGCCTTAAAGGTGTCCAGGTCCTTACTGATCATGGCGACGCTGGGGGGCAGGAGGTTCCATAATGTGATGGTCCGGGGGATGAAGGAGTGTCTGTATGCATTGGTGGCCATGTGTGTGGGATGTAGAGTTTGTAGGAGTAGCTGTTCGTTGTGATAGTTGAGTAGGTGGGGTGGTAGGCGATGGGTACTGCTACACTGTGATGAAGTATTTTGTGCATAAAGATGATGTCCGTTGTTTTGCGTCTGTGTTCCAGTGTTTCCCTTTTTAGATCCTTGACCATTTGTGTTGTACTATCTGTGTCTGGTTTGTTGTAGTCGAGTGGTTTGTGGAGGACGAATTGATGCTCTGTGATGTATGTGGGTTCCATGCTGTGCTGCTTATTCTAATTTCGGTCTGACTAAGCTTTCATATGCTCTTTCCTTGACTTTTTGTGGGCAATGTTTTAGGTTCCTCCAAAACCCCTGAACCAATTTCAATGAAATTTTGCAGGGACCTTCCATGGACAAAGGTCAACAAAAATAGTGGCCAGTTTAGTCCTGAGGGGCGGGGCCAAAAAGGGTCAAATTGACTAAAATTTCAAAAATCTTCTTCTCAATAACCAGATATGGTAGAATCAAATACTCTTCATATATGGAAGGGTCTTAAGGTGCTTTACCAAAATTGTGAATTTCCTGACCCTGGGGTCTCACGTTTCCCCCTGGTGAGGGGGTAAACTTTACTATAGTTTATATAGGGAAATCACATTTTGAACCAACATTTGTTTAATTTCAATTGGAAGTAATTCATTTTGGGTTAGCATTATCAGTATTTGGTAGCAGTTTGATAGTATGCACATATGAGCCCTGACTGACCCCCAGGGGCTGATGGGTGGGGCAAAAAAGGGTTGAATTGACTGAAAATTCAAAAATCTTCTTCTCAAGACCCACATATGGTAGAATCAAATACTCTTCATAGATGGAAGGGTCTTAAGGCTTATGACCCTAGGGTCTCACATTTATCCCCTGGGGAAGGAGGGGGGGGGGGCCAAAAGTTATATGGTTTATAATGGCAAATGATACTTTGAATATTACATGTTGATAACTTGATAGGAATTATAACCTTGAGTTGACAGTTTGATACTTTGAAAATTTTGAGCCAGTCCTACCCCCAAGGGCTGTAGGGTGGGGCTCAAAGGAGTCAGTGTGCTAAAATTTCTTCATTTTCCTTGTTTAGAATCAGAGGTGCTAGTTTCAAATACTTTTTAGTCTGCAATCTGTATGCTAGATATTGAATAAGGTGGTTTTATGGTTTTTTTGTCACTTTGAATAATATTTCTGTTCATGTTAAAAACAAAATTCACTCTCTGTATACATATATCAGGTGACCGTTAAGGCCCATGGGCCTCTTGTTTAACTTTGAATTCCATTTACCAGGTGTCTGCCCAGTTAAATAATGTGTTGAGGTCTAGTTTTAGGTTGGTACGGTCTGCTGGTGTGTACACAGTCGTTTGTAAAGAGTCTGATGATTGAGTGGATGTTGTCAGTAATTTCGTTTATAAAGATGGGGAAGAGTGTAAGTCTGAGAACAGTTCCCTGTGGTACCCCTGGTTTACTAGTGATGATGCTGATGTTGTTTCCTATCTGCCAAAAATTTGTCAATCCACTGTTGTGTTGTTCTCTGTATCCTGTAGTAGTGTAGTTTGGTTGATAGGCATTGGTGTGCGACTTAATCGAAGGCCTTGGCAAAGTCTAGTATGGCAATGTCCGCTTGTGTCTTGTTGTTGTTGATGCACTTGATGATGTTGTCTGCAGTGATGAGGAATAGTTGAGTTCGTAGGAGCGTTTTTCTTCTGAAGCCATGTTGGTTTTCGTGTAGTATGTTCTGCTTGTCTAATGTCTAGATGGTTCATTATCTGCGATACTATGATGTGTTCAAGGATCTTCGAGAGTAAGCGAGACAGGTCTGTAGTTCTTGTTCTGTCGCCTTTCTTGTATATGGTTACGTTTTTTGCCTCTTTCCAGTCTGCAGGTATGGTTGCAGTGTCAATGGATTTCTGAAATAGTGTGGTGAGGTTATGTGATGTAATGGTTGAATTTTCCTTGAGGATGCGAATGGGGATTTTATCTGGTCCTGTAGCTTTCCTGGGGTTGAGTCGTTCTAGTGCCTTCTCTACGCCGCGTACACAGATGTTCTTCATTGTTAGGTATATTTGCTGTTCCCCTTGTCTGGTATTGATGTGGTGTCCTCTGTCGTGAATACTGAGGTAAACTGTCTGTTGAGTATGTCTGCTTTTTTCTGCGCTGGTGTCTGCGGTGTCTGCTATGATGCCGTCTGCCTTCAATGTGTTGATTCCTGTTGTGTCTTGTTTTCTTGCTTTGATGAATTTCCAAAATGATTTAGATGTGTTGGCTTTGTTGTTCCCCTCATGGAGTGAGTTGGCCACTTCACTTGCCCACAGTCATACATGGTAAAGTGATTTACACCAGATTAGCGAAAGAGTAAATACTACCTGTACCCAGTCTCTATATGGCTTCACAGTTGGAAGGACAAAAATGAAAAAGGACAGGTTACCTTCATCCCTGTGACATGCAGCACCAGCTATTACTTATTATTATGTGTGGTGCTGTTCAGTAAGTCATCTGTCTATTTATATTTTCTGACAACTTCCTAAGAGGCCTACAGTGCTAGGCTTATGGTATTTGTGTGATATGTAAGGGGTTTGTTTCCAAGTAACTAATTTACTTACTGGGATTTGAGATCATATGTACAATACATCATTCCCTTGGTAAAATATATACATATTTCAGAATTACTGTAACACCATGCTACCCTTGAATACTAATAATTTTATACAAAAAGGGTGAATAGTAGTTATTTATTTGACCAAAACCTATCTCTGTACCGGGGTAGCGAGTGGCAATGGTACACAGCTCTCTATCACTCTAGTCATGCTGCTCCGCTAGCCTTGCTACCCACCGCATGCATCTCTCTGTGTATATATAAGTGCCAGGCCTATTGAAGTGTTATGTATGTATACGCCGTGGTGTTACGTACACCAGACAGCCACATAAACTAACACTGCCCTACTGACCATTTCCCTATCACTGTTACGATAGATAGCCATGTGCACGACGACCAGACCACCCTCCATTGGTGGTGACAATGTTGAATTCAATGTTGATATATTATGGCCTTCAATAATCTACACAACATTCAAGCTTAGATATTATATACCTCTAGCTCTAGTCGTCTCCAGTATAAACCTATTAGTGTCAGCTTTTCCGTGCCTTAGTTTCAACGTGCTTCAGTCAGCTTAGCTCACTTGTATTTATTCGATGTAACCCAAGTGGTCAGATTAATCTGCATCTTCAGTACTTTTTATGTTGAATAGATGTAACTATAGCAAGATTTTTTCTGGCAAGGTCTACTTTCTCTTTCCATTACATGTAGGTTGAAGGCTTATTCATTTCAGAGCTTTAAGTTGACCCTTGACATTTAGCAATTTCAGAGATCAAATAATATTTCCCCTGAAATTTGGGGGGGGGGGGGGAAACACATCAAATATGCACCTATCCTTTCAAACCCAAGAGTAAAAGCTCCCTTTGGGAGGTCAGAAAAGATCCTCCCAAGGGTCTAGTAAAAGCCTTGAAGATTGTATAAATGAAAAACCTCAGTGTACTTAGGTCACATAGAGTGAAAAAAAATTAAACATCACATTTAGATTAACCAAGAGTCATAGAATGATAATATCTAGTGTATAGAAGGCTGTAGTAAATAGCTATAAAGTTTGTTTACATATACCTTGCCCTGCATTCATCATGTGCAATGGATGTCAAACCTGATTTTTGACAAATTTTTAATAACCAAGAAACTTCTTCCCTAAGGGGTAGAGTAATGAAGTTTTTCTGGGATAAATTACTACATGTACAAGCTTGTTCAAATAAGTTACCTTGACCAGGATGGTAGGGGACAAGTGTGCTAAAATCTTCAAACAATTTGCAATAGCTAAAATCTATAAGGCCTAGAATAACAAATTTTAGCCCACCATCATCTGATGATGGGCTTTTCAAATCACCCTTGGTCCGTCATCCGTCCTTTAACAATTCTTGTTATCGCTATTTCTCAGAAAGTAAAGGAGGGATATTTCTAAAATCAATATGAGGGTCCGACTTGATCTGTTGATGTGCATGTTTACTTTTCAGACTGATCGGATAAACAAAAATGGCCGACAGATGGCCATCTTGGATTTTGACAGTGAATGTTTGTTAATGCTATTTCTCATGAAGTTCTTGAGGAATCTTTCTCAAATTTGATATATTGATTTTCCTTGGTCTGTAGTCGTGCATGTTTACTTTTCAGACTGATCGGATAAACAAAATGGCCGACAGATGGCCATCTTGGATTTTGACAGTGAATGTTTGTTAACGCTATTTCTCATGAAGTTCTTGAGGGATCTTTCTCAAATTTGATATATTGATTTTCCTTGGTCTGTAGTTGTGCATGTTTACTTTTCAGACTGATCATGATCTGATGAACAAAATGGCCGACATACGACCATCTTGGAGTTTGAAATTGAATGTTTGTTATCACTATTTCTCATGTGGAAAATCTGGAGGGATCTTTCTCAGATTTGATATGTAAGTTCCCCTTGGTCTGTAGTTGTGCATGTTAACTTTTAAGACTGATTGGATAAACAAAATGGCTGACATGCTACCATGTTTGATTCTGACTGTGACTGTTTGTTATCACTACTTCTCAGGAAATTTCTGAGGGATCTTTCTCAGATTTGATATGTAGGTTCCCCTTGGTGCATGTTTGCTTTGATGAGTGAGTGGTCATAAAAACAAGATGGGCACAGGAAGTACTAATGTCAGTAATAATGAGATCTTTCTGATATTGAAATGATTGGATCTATTTAAAGAACTGTACCAGTAAATATGTGAAACGGTGCATTTACTGTTTACATGACTTGATCAAACAGATCAGAGAAAAGAAGAGAAAAGATCAAGCTGACATAAACTAATGAAGATGGTACAATGGTGGGCGCCAAGATCTGTCTGGGATCTCTTGTTTATGTATACATTAGGTAACAAAGATGTCTAAGTATGGGCGGATTGGTCTAGTGGTTAGCACTCCACCTTCCAAGCAGGCGGCCGGGGTTCGATTCCCGAAGTCGTTGTACGCATGAAATATTAGAGAAAGTGTTTTTCTCCTGTCCACACAACTCCAACAACCCAGGTGGAGTATAAAATGGTCTGGGGTGGGTGTTGCGGTATCTGTGCTGTAGCATTCAAGTGAGGTGGCACTATAAATGATACCGTTGGAAGCACGGTCCCACTACAAACAGAACACAATACATCTCAAGCACACACTCAGGCATACACACAAATGGAGATATTAGCCAGGTCACATAGGACTAGTAGTTAGTGCCTGATAAGGTAGCTCCTGCAAATTCCTCAAAAATTGAATTGATTAATGTATATGCTAATTGTATTGACTGTATAAAATTTTATATCTATGTACTGTAAAGCACTTTAGAGTGGCTTATGTTAGCTAGATAGGGTGCTATATCAAATGTTGTATATTTATTTATTTAAGTGTCCTATATAGCCTGTAGGGACAGGAGGTGTTAAGTGCTTTGTATAAATAAAGTTACCAGTATTCAAGGAAATGCGGTTAAACATTAAAATCTTCAATTGGTTCTTCTAAAGATCCACAGGGTTTTGTTTAATGGCCTGTAGCTTGTTGGTGTGAAATGCTAAATTGATCAACAGAAATGATATGTTTTGCTTGCTAGCTCTCATGATCAGGTTGGCTTTAATAAATTTGACATCATGCAATTAAACAGCATTGAGGAACAGGCAAGCAATACTGTTGGGCCTTTTGTATTGGTATAAATACTGATGACATGTTATTGTATTCATATTTACAGATAGTGGATAAACCATCTGAAGATGAGTGGTGGAAAGCTGTGCCATACAATAATCCATCAGAAAGAACCAAATTCGTCCCAATGAATTATATTCAAATGACACCACACAAGTAAGCTGTAATGTTATAATGATTGTCAGCACGTTGCTGTGACACAAGTAAGCTGTAATGTTATAATGATTGTTAGCACGTTGCTGTAACACAAGTAAGCTGTAACATTATAATGATTGTCAGCACGTTGCTGTGACACAAGTAAGCTGTAATGTTATAATGATTGTCAGCACGTTGCTGTGACACAAGTCAGCTGTAATATTATAATGATTGTCAGCACGTTGCTGTAACACAAGTAAGCTGTAGCATTATAATGATTGTCAGCACGTTGCTGTGACACAAGTAAGCTGCAATGTTATAATGATTGTCAGCATGTTGCTGTGACACAAGTCAGCTGTAATATTATAATGATTGTCAGCACGTTGCTGTAACACAAGTAAGCTGTAACATTATAATGATTGTCAGCACGTTGCTGTGACACAAGACGTTCCACAGCATTGAATAAAAATGAACCCTAGGAAGTTACATATTTACATATTTCTGTTCAATAAACAGGATAGAAGTTCTGTTTACTTTTTGTTCCACAATTTGATATTGCAAATGCTATTTGATAGTTCATTCTTGTCATTAAAAGCTAACTATTTGAAAAGTTCAGGCATCTATAATGATACTACATCACATACATCTATAATGATACTACATCACATACATCTATAATGATACTACATCACA